ACAGTATAACACTACACTGTGAGACTTTATCGAAATAAAATTGTATTCAACCTTGCCTAGTTAACTAGCAGGCTAGTTTTCTAGCTGGTCCTAAGCTCAGGTAAAAAGAGAGAGAGAGCTGACCGTGAGATAGGCAGCCTCACAACACTAAATCTTTCAAACCGCTAGAGAAACTTCAACATACAGAAAATATATTTAAAAAATACAAAAACTTCAAGTAACAACAATCTTATTCTTCACCCGAATGAAAGAGGAGAAATAACGCGGGGTGGTGAAAGCCCTCGGGAAGCCAGTCAGCCATCCAGCCGATGTGTCTTCTCTCGATGAAAGCAAGAGTAAGAATGGATACGTATAATGTTCTTACAATGTAAGAGACTTGGAAGGCTACCCAGGTAGCTAAATAGATGCGAAGACATGACTTAGATTTACTGAGTATCTGTGAAAGCAGATGGAATCTATATGGATTGACAAAATTTTCAACAGGAGAGTTGCCCAGACGACAACCATGAGCACACCGAGGCAGTGAATGGCTATCATGATGTCACCAGCGACAGTCAAAGCCCTAATGCAATGAGAACCAATTTCATTTCATCCTGCAGGATAATGACAGCGAGACTTAACTCAAAAGAAAGGAAGATTACAATTATCCAATGCTACGCACAGTGCTACAAACAACGCGGAACAAGAGAAGAAGGAAGACTTCACGGACAACCATAAAGAGTAATGGACAACATCTCAAGTGGTGACATCAAAATCTTTATGAACGATATGAATGCCAAACTGGGAGCAGATAATGCAGGAAGAGAACTCATCATGGGTCGATAGGCTCTGGCTTGATGAAATGAATGAGAACGGTGAATTATTTACAGGCTGCTGCTCTTTGAACGATTTGATAATCTAGGGAGCATGTACAAACACAAAGATATACACGAAACAACATGGGTTTCGCCTGACCAAAACACCACAAACCAATCTCAAGGAAGTGGAAAGGCAGACTGCTGGATACAAAGTCGAGAACAGGAGCAGATGTAAGTTCAAGGAACCTTCAAGGTGAAGCTGAAATCCATGAAAACAAATGGAGACAGGTCGCAATGCAAGTTGAACATTCAGAAGCTGAAGGACAAAACTACAAAGGATGTCTTTTTGCTACAGATCAGATCAGAGCAAAGTTTGACACACTACGTAGCATCACTGAGGATGCCTCTGTAGAAGAACATTGGAACTCTCTGAAGGCTGACGATGTTCAAGGAAACGTGTACAACTGTTCTAGGAAGAAAGAAGAGACAAAACAAGGAATGGTTGTCAACGGACACTTACCTGTAAGCTAATCGAAGAGAGAAGGATGATGAAAGAGAAGATTACTCAATGCAAAAATGGGTAACAGAAGGAGAAGCTGAGTTCAATGTACTGATTGGAAGTAGGACTACCTCGTCAAACTGCCAAAAAGGGCGACTTATGCCTGTGCAAGTACTGGCGCGGAACAATCCTCTTGTCCACTTCAAGTGAAATACCAAGTCGTATCATTTTGGAGAGAAAAAAGGATGCAGCGGATAAAGAACTCCGCCGGAAAAATTTGGATTCAGGAAAGGCAAATCATGTGCTGATCAAGTTGCAGCTCTACGCATCGTCATCGAACAAAGCATAGAATGTCAGTCAAATCTCTACCTAAACTTCATCGACTTCCAAAAGGTTTTCGACGGCGTAGACCGAGAAGTAATTCGGAAATTACCTCAACACTACGGTGTTCACTGCCCAAGTATTAATCAACCTCAATCAACAGCTGGCTATATGACAATACCACGTGTCAAATGATCCACAACGGAAAACTCAGCAAGGCGTTTGAAGTGCATACAGGAGTAAGACGAGGCTGGCTGCCTATTATCCCGATGATATTCTTAATTGTGGTGAACTTGACTATGTGTCAGACTGTGTGTGCTAGTGACAAGACAAGAATACTCTGGACCGCCGATAAGAGGACTCTAGAAGTTCTGGATTACTCAGCAGATGATATATGTCTGATATCATACAAACTCGAAGACTTGCAAGGAAACCCAGCAAACTGGTTGAAGAGGCTGGCAGCGAAGACAGGACTGCAGGTGAACGCAGCGAGGACGGAGGTGATGAAGATAACCAATCAACTTCAACAACAACCAGCACCAATCACCATCAACAGGAGAGATTTAACAGTGGTTGCCTCCTTCACGTATCTTGGAAGCATCTTTTCAACTCTAAGGCGAAACAGACGAAGATGTCAAAGCCAGTCAGAATCGGAAAGGCAACATACCCACCTTCACCACGCTGAAACCAGTTTGGAAATCTTCTGCTTTACTCATCATAAGAAACAAGATTCTCATTTTTTTCAACCTAAATGTGAAGTCGGTCTTTCTATACGGGTCAGAAATTTGGCCAGTATTTCACGAGGAGGATTTCCAACATACGGCAGTGCAAACTTTCATCAACAGCTGCCACTTTCGCTGGCATCATACTGAAGATCAGATGGCCAGAAGGAATAATAAGAAACTATGCGAACAAGCCAACCAAGAACCGATTGCTCAACAAATATGTAGGAGAAAATACAGATGGATCGGGCATACATTGAGGAGCCACCGAATTACATCGCACACGAGGTCCTATTGTGGAATCCAAAAGGAAGCGACGAGCGGGTCATCAATGTGATGGTGACATGGAAGATCGTGTGAGGAAGAGATGAGAGAGTTTGATCAATCGTGGACCCAGCTGAAGAAGACGGCAGAAGATAGGACAAAGTGGAGATGTGTTGCTCCACTCGGAACTCAAGGGATTAATAATAATAGTAATAATAGTCGCTGATTCCTCAGCAGTATTTTCAGTGTCTCCTCTGTATAAAATTCTAACATTCTCCTGATCAGATTGGTGCCCGTAATTATCTTTATGAATTGACATGAAACAGGAATACATATCATGCCTTTTCACACCTAATTTATGTTCTTGGATTCTCATTCAATGGAAACAACCAATTGAAAAGTATCTAATTTATTTTGTAAATGGTACTGATCTTCTATTTCAGTTAGACCCTTTGATCTGCACAATATCGAATGAGGTGTTATTGTACTGGCTGGCCGGCTAGCCAACTGGCTTGTATGTTATGTCTATTTCAAATGGTCTTAATATTCTAGCTGTTATTTTACAGAGATATTCTTTATATGCGTATGATAGAATGAATTTTCTTCTGGTCACATTAAGGCACATTTCAGAAGCCCGCACTGGTAGCCAGTATGTTGACCAGAGATTCGATCAATCCATCAAAGAGAAATACAACGATAAATCTTAGTGAATAACACCTGATACCCCTCTATACATGAGACGGCTCTTTTGACTCACTAGCCTAGTAAACAAATTTCTAAGGATTGAAACAATTAGCACTAGGCTCAAGTCTCAGTGTGATTACCAAAAAACAAGAGTGGAAATGTACATCTTGGATATCGTCATTTCAAGCCACCACTATTCAAGTAACTGTTTTTATAATGATTTCAGTCCAAATAGATTGGGATTCGACTCTAAGAAGGGATAAAAGTTCCATCACGATTGCAGTAGATACGCTTTGCTGACTGATGAGTGCTTACAACAACGAAACCTATGTCAAACAGGGCTTCCTCCAACCTACTGTCTATTGTCCAATTAGAATAAATACCCATTTAAGGATAATTTTGTTATACCTATTTGCTTTGATCGATTTTAAACAAATGCCCTTGAAAGAATATATTATTGACATGTAATAATGTAAACGTGACAGGTAAATAGTTCATTGGAGAAAAGAAAGTGCTTAAGATTCCAATGAAACCTTTTAATTCATGGGAAATAAAACATAAAAGAAGACTGCGTAGGATTTAAAAGAAAGTAACCTGCTGAGGTGGTTTCATTCCTACTGGGAAATGGGATTTCAAAATTTGAGTTTTAGAGCTTAACTAGCAGTGTTCAGGGTGATGCTCTCACGTTCAACCACCCAACTGTTTACCCAGCCTACTGTTGGCTGGCTAAACAATGTTTAGGATTGCGTTCATTACCTCAGAATCGAAACCTAGATCTATTGCAGTAGTCAGCGAGTATTCAGCCACTGTGAACTATTCACCTACCTGAAAAGTTAGTGCTCTTTTTCCCCGTAATACAAGTTTGTCTTTTTACCACTCGCATACCACTCGCTTTCAGTTATTTATAGCTTGTTTTAGTTGAATTTTAGATTTTTCCGTCGATTGATTGAACCGAAGTGCTTGGTCTCAGGTTAACATGTCGGCTTCTTGTGAAGGTGTATTTAATTAGAAGTTAATTTGTGGATGGTGACTAGCAGTGGAATCCAGGATGCGCATTTCTTCCTATTTGGGAGTCGTCACTGGATGTACTCACATTCCGCAGTGAGTGATGATGTTCCCACCGAGGCTCGAACTCAGTGCCCATAGTTTCAAACGCCAAAGCGTTATCCACTATACTACTTGGGCCATGACAGCCACCTCTTGTGGCGCTTTGGCGTTTGAAACTATTGGCACTGGGTTCGAGCCTCGGTGGGAACATCATCACTCACTGCGGAATGTGAGTACATCCAGTGACGACTTTCAAATAGGACAAAATGCGCATTCTGGATTCCACTGCTAGTCACCATCCACAAATTAAATTTTTAAAACTTGTGTTACGTAATATGACCCCAAGAGTAGATCTGATCCTTCATTCAGGTCAAACCAGACTTAATGATGATTTAATCAATAATGATTGTGAAAGGTAAATGAGGATCTGGATAACGATTAGGATTCGAACACTCCCCGACTACTAAATAGGCGATCATTCGAACTATGATCTTGCCTATTATTTTTTCCACCCCAGCGATTACATAACATGTCAATAAAACAATCGGTAACTAGTCTGTTAATTCAAGGTTATCGCTAAGATAAGTTTGCCTAATAACAGAGCACATAATTCATATAAAAATATGAAAATAAACCACGAATCCACAAACATTTTATATTACTTACAATATAATGCTTCATTCCTGTGTCGAAACCACACTGTCACATCCATACGATATCCATCTGGATCGAAAACTTCACCACCAACTTTAATCACTGAGGCTTCATAAGATCTTGCTCCTGGACTCACTGAACCACCGCGTAAATTTAATGATTTCCCTGGTGCCATTTATGTGCTGATTATTGTGATTATTAATATGATTATTGTTCAATGCTTTGTGAAATTAAGAAATTTAGAATAAATTGAAAAAAATGAAATAATTTTTGGAAAATATTGTTTTCCGAATAAAAATGTGTAATGCAATGGCAATGTAATGTAATCCAACAAAATGTACAAAACACAGTGAGTGGGAAAATAAACTTTTCAACACAAGCGCAGGCAGATGCCCTTACACACATGATTACACATACACACACACAACACACAATATAACGATGAACTTTTCACCGTATACTGTACGTGTGCGTACATGTGTCCGCGCGTGTGTGTGTGTGTGGGTGTGTGTACACCTGCAACATACTACATCCTATTGGTTGGCAGAAATCAATTCGCCCAAAAAGCGTGGGTGGAATTGTTTTTCTATCAGCTTTGGCTGTGTTTTTAAAGATTGTATTAGGTAGGAGGAGGCTGGTAGGGATAATAATAGTAATAAAATGTCAGTGTTCGTTTTGATTTCATTCTCACTGCTTCCTACACTATACAGCACAATCACAACTTTACTTCAAGAAAAAATATAGATACATGATTAGATAGAAATTAATTTCATATTGTAGTGTAATTATTTTTAAAAAAATAATAATAAATAGGGAAAAATAACAATAATAACAGTAATAATGATAATAAGTTCTACCGCCCTTCTATCCATCTATCCATTCGTCCGTACATCCCTCCATTTTCGCCCATGTTAATTCCTTTCATCAATCCTTTTCCACTTGCCCTTTTCATCCATCATCAACGAATCCCGTTTACACTGTAGAAAAATAAACACAACATCTATCATGTGTTGTTATGATGTGTAAAAATAGTTTGCAGGTGAATGTGCAGATGTGTATTCATCTCGATATGCCAAACGAAAATACGAACACACAAAGGCGCGCACACACACACACCCACACGTAGGCACTAAATGGATAATCGATATATGCCTACATATATACACAAATTGTAAAATCAGCAACAAAATAACCATTTACAAGGAAAGAAATCGATTAACATAATGGTGAAAGATTGTGAAAAAATACGAGGTGGGGGAAACGAAGACTGGCGGCAGGTACATTATCCATACACTATCTAGATATATGGTGAAATTCCAAGGTAAACTCCGAAATTAGCCAGAGGGAATACGAAATAGATTTTTCGTCTTAGCTTGGGACTCTTCATCAGTAGGCAAGCATAACATTTGAACCTACAGGTTATATTGGCAAACACATCATTCTTTAGTTAATGAATCTTCAATTAGGAATCTAGTCACCAATCAATTCTTCGTTGTTTCCGTCTCTGTTCTCATCCCTGGTCATTAAGTAAAGAGTGTGTGAGTGAGTGCTGCTAAAGAGCCCAAACTGAGACGAAACAGTTGTTGCTTACTTCGTATTTTCAATGATTCTTTAGCTGATCTATACTGAAGTCAATTAAAAAAAACTGAAAATCAAAAATTTATTCAATTAATCGATAAAATTCACCTGATGGTCACTAGTGACTGGCCCTATTCAGGCAGTTAACCTGGGGTTCTAGTGTGAAGCCGTGGCTAGTAGGGTACAGCAGGTCGAAGATGAGGCAGTAACTCATCGAAGAAGACATTGCGCAGTGGTCGCGCTATATCGTGAACTGCAGAAGTTAGAATTCAAGGACCATTGGATCGGGTCCTAGTGGCTCAATGGTCTACGAGCTCGCCTTGTAACCAGAAGGTCCTGGGTTCGAATCCCAGTGGGTGCGTACTGCTGAGGAGTCCCAAACTAGGACGAAACAGCTGTCCAGTACTCCCAGGTTTTCCAGTGGTTCTCTAACTGATGTCAGCTCATGATTAAATCCTCCACGCAATCAAAACAGTTTAATGCAAGTGTAGACCTTAGGAATCATAGTAGAATGTAATTCCTTATTAGATAAGTTTATTTTAAATATCCTTCAGTGATGTTGTATTAATAACTGGATGACAACGTCTTGAGTATAAATTATTGCCGCTAATGATCATGACAGTTTTAGTTACATGTTTCCACAATTTGTGTTAAATATACGTCTTTTCTCCCTTTCTGTCTCCCCCTCCAATTTCCTTTGTTGTTTGTTGCCACTTTCCATGTCGCTGGTATAGGCCGTGTTGCGTCATTCTGATTGCACGTGTGATGAGGTGTTGAATCGTTGAACAAAGACTCAGGATTAACCTCTGTCTATCTCCGCCTAACTATATTACTTCTTAATGCTCTCATCCTGCTCCACTGACCCTACTATGTGATTACATATAAGTGAATGCAATTCAATGATCAAGCATTTCTGCACGTTATTTAACATATCAGGATCAATCGCTTTAGGTTTAGCTAAATTTTCATGTTCCACTAATCTAGTTGACCCCGATCTACTAGTTTCAACGACCTATGTAATTGACTTCACTTGCAGTGACTACATGGCATTTAGTAAATTTCATTATTTTTTTTAATTAGTTCTATCGGGGCAGGTCTTTAAGTCGACAAAGTTTCTCCCTGAGAGAGTTGATTATCTTGTTGGTTGAAATGTTACCCTAATTCAGATTCACTGACAATCCTACGTAAAACCTCTGACGTTCCTTATTCATACGGCATTATTACAGTGGAATATAATTGATGGATGGTGACTAGCAGTGGAATCCAGGATAACGCGCCTTTCGTCCTTTTTGGGACTCGTCCGCCAGCTGGATGTACCTGCATTCCCCAGTGAGTCAGTGAGTGATGGTATTCCCCGAACCGAGGCTCTAACCCAGTCAAAATAGTTTCAGATGCCAAATCGTAATCCACTAAACCACACAGTCACCTCTTGTGCAGCGGGTCATATTAATTACCCAATCCAATTTTAGATTTTCCCCATCAATTGATCGGACCAAATTGCTCGGTCTCAGGTTGACAGGTGGTTCTCTTGTAGCCCAAGTAGTCTAGTGGATAACACTGGAACTATGAGCAGTGGGTTCCAGCCTCAGTGAGAATATCATTACTTGCTGGGGAATGAAGGTAAATCCAACTGATGAGGATGAAATGCGTATCCTGGATTCCACTGCTAATCACCATCAACCAATTAACTTCTAATTACATGCACAGACATCGTCGAAGCATCTGCACAAGAAGCCGACCTATTTGTCAACCTGAGACCTGATGAAGTTGTGTTCTTTGAGCTGGGCGGTTTATATTCGAAACTACCACTACCCTTCTAGGCAACATCTTCGGCTCATGCACTTCAATTTAAACCAAATAAATCATCCAGCTCAGAAAAAACAACCACATCAAAATCATCCACCTGAGCTACAAGTCTTCTCCATCAATATCTAAATCTTCCAAGTTTCTCTTTTTGTCCAGTGAAAAAATGTCATGATGAAGTCCTGCAACCAATCAACCAAATCCCTACAAACCAATACTAGAAAATCAATGAGATGCTCAATGGCGACTGGCTTTATTGAGGTAGGTAGTTACCTGGGGTTCTGGTGAGAATTCGTGACCAGTAAGGTGCAGCATGTTGGGTGCGAGGACAAATATTCGCCGAAGACATTGGCTAGCGGTTGCGCTATATCGTGAATTGGCAAAAGTTAGAATTCACAGGCCGTTGGATCGGGTCCCAATGGCTTAATGGTATACGAGCTCGCCTTGTAACCAGAAGGTCCTGGTTCGAACCCTGGTGGTGGGTGCGTACTGTTGAGGAGTCTCAAACTAGAGGGATGAAACAGCTGTCCAGTACTCCCAGGTGGGTTTTCCAATAGTTCTCTAATCAATGTCAGCTCATGATGAAATCCTGTAACCAATCAACCAAATTACTACAAACCAATACTTGAAAAAATATTTCTCTACTGAACAACTCTATTTTCAAACTGTAGCCATTTGTATTTACATTAATCGAAAAAGGCATTAAGTGGGGTAGTAAAATTTGCTTAGTAGTCCATATATATATACGATAAGAATAAAGATAATAAACACATATTTTAGGGATGTAGAAGGGGAAGTGTGCCGGTGGTTGTGGTGGTGGGGTGGCTGGCGAGTAAAGTTGGACTGCATGTAAAAACCATTAACTAATTGTTTTTAAAAGTAGGTCAAATGCTGCCAAAGAAAAAGCTTTAAAATGTGCTGATGGTAATAATATAAAGAAGGCGAAGATAAACTTAGTAGTAGAAATGTCGCGAGTGCTACTGATAAGATTTATTAGTAGTATATATATATTTACAAAGAAATGTTTATCGGCATTGGAATATCAAATAACAGGGAGGTTCATTTGATTTCAGAGAAGGCAAATGATACAGCGTTGTGGAGATTCATGGCAGACGATGTGAAAGTAACACAAAGAAACATAATTTAAAGTCCAGAAGTACCACAAAACAAAGATCTGTACAAATGGTGCTGCATTCATGAAAAAAACATATTCGAACATTAATAGAGAGAAGACTGGTAAATAGTTTAGCGAAGAGTATCTTTTCAGCGGCTAATTCATTTTCACAGCTGCACAATTAGAAATGTGTATGTATATATGCTTATTTTGTATGTGTTTACATTAACTTTGTCAAACTAACTACTTAAAACTTTCACGTGATTCCTTTAAAACTCTTAAGTATGTTGTTTATTTTGTTTTCATGTTTATCCTGAGCACAACCCTTTCATCAAACTATCCATCTTATTTAGTTACATTTTAGATTTTCCCATCGATTGTTTGGACTGAAGTGTTCGGTCTCGGGTTGACATGTCTATCAGCTTCTTGTGCAGATGCTCTAACGATGTCTGGGCATGTAATTCGAATTTAATTGGTGGATAATGACTAACAGTTGAATCAAACCAGGATAAAGTGCATTTTGTCCTATTTGGGACCCGTTCGCCAGCTGGATGTACCTGCATTCCCCAGTGAGTCAGTGAATGATGATGTTCCCCGCATCGAGGTTAGAACTAAGTGGCTATAGTTTCAGACGCCAAAGCGTTATCCACTAAACCTCATGTCGCTTGTGACATCTCATC